TGTGAGAATAATGGTGACAACACTGGGAATAGGAATCAGAAGAAAAGTTGGTCTGGGAGGCCGGGAGAAATCCTAAGGTGGACATCTAGGTGGACACACAAAGCAGTTAGAAATTAGCAATTCCCTCTCAGGAGAGTGATGGTATTGCAATTTAAAAAAAACTTTTATTGTGCCATACAACATGTACAATAAAAGACATCAATCCTAAGCTTACAGCTCAGTGAACTTTTACGTATGCAGACACACGTGCTCCCACCACTCAGGTCAAGATTTCTAGCCCCCTAGGAGTTCCCTTGTGCTCCTTCCCAGGCACTACCTCCCCACAGGCAACCACTGTTTTGACGTTGACCACCATAGATTCATTTTGCCTGCTCTTGAACTTCATATTAACAGAATCATACAGTGTATGTCCCATCAAATAATTTATTGGATACCTCCTGGGTGCCAGACACTGTGCCAAGTGTTAGGGATGCAACAGTGACAAGACAAAGTCCCAGCCCTCATGGAACTTGAATTCAGCTCAGAAGGAAGAGATCAATACTTCTGGAGGTAACAGGATGGCCAAGGGGGAAAGGGTGGACCAAAAAGAAAGAGGATGAAGATGAGGAGATGAGAAATGCTTAAAATGGGGGTGGTAGGGGGTGGTAGGGGGTGGAGAGATCAGAGGATGGAGAGAAGCTGGAGAATCAGCAGCGCAGAAGCCTGAGAACAAAGCTTCAAGAGGGAGGGAATGATCCACAGCGTCACATGCTGCTGAGAGGTTAATCAACACATATTTATGGAGCACCTGCTCCGTACAAGGCTAGGCACGGAGTGGAATAGAGAGTGGCATAAAACTCCCTGTAATAATGATCTCTAACATGTCTATAGAGATAAGAGAAGGCCCTGGCAGGGGAAAACACCATAAAATTCAAATATGATCATGTCATTGCCCTGCTTAAAGCCTTCCTATGGCTTTCCACTGCCAGAGGAATTAAGATCAAAACCTCACCATGCCCTCCTGGGCCCTTGTGGTCTGACGCCTGTGGATTCCTGTAGCCTCAGCTCTCTCTCCCTGTCACTCTGACTCTCCAGGCATTCTGGCCTTCTTTTTTCCCTTGTTCTACTCCCGCCTGCCCCAGGGTCTTTGCACACATTGTTTCTTCAGCAATTTCTCCTTCTCTTACCGCTAGAAAGATCTAGTTAAAGCTACTCACTATTCTTTACATCTCTGCTCAATGGCTGCCTCTTCAGAGAAGCCTTCCCTGATTTTCCAACTTGAAATAGCTCCCTATGTTTTGCACTTCCACAACTCACTTTATGGAACTTTCTTTCCTAACACTTATCATGAGTAATTTTTTATCTGTGTGATTATTGCATGAATGTTTATTTCTCTCACAAATGGGAGGCCCCTATGAGAGCAGAGACTCTATCTGCTTATGAATGTCAGTGATTCCCAGCACCTAGCTCAGGGCTTGCTAAGTACTTGCTGAATGAATGAGCTTATGAATTTGAAGTCATAAGACCTGTCTTTAAGCCCTGGCTATGTGACTTTGGATAAGTGACTTTCTTCCCTTCCCCAGGACTCAGTTTCATCATCCATAAAATGAAGGGATAGACTCTCTAAGGGCCTCTCCAGCCTTATGTCCTCGGATTTGATGACTCACATTCATAAAAATGTCTCTGGGCTGCCCGCCAACACATTAGCACTGATATTAGTTAGTGCCGAGTTAAGAAGTGCAAAGCATCAAATGCTGTAGAGATAGGACAGAGCAGTGTGATCCAGGATGGTCAGAGAAGACTTCCTGGAAGAGGTGGGTAGAAATGAATTAAATAGATGGGGAGAAAAGAGACTTTTAAGAACCAGAGAAGCACAGAGGCATGAAACATGACAGGAGATCACAAGGAGACTGGTCTAGCTGGTGCCTGTGGGAAGGATTGCTCCCTTAAAATAGAAGAGGCCTCTTGTGCTAGTTTCCTATTGCTGCTTAGTGGCTTCAAACAGCAAATTTTATTATCTTACAGTTTTACTGGAGGTCAAAAGTCCAGAATTGATCTCACTAGTCTAAAGTAAAAGTGTTGACAGAGCTGGTTCCTCCTCGAAGCTGTAGGGGAGAATCTCTTTCTTTGCCTTTTCCAACTTCTGAAGTCTGTCCTCATTCCTTGATTAACAGCTCTGCCTCCCATCACCTTTTTCTCTGACTTAGACCCTCTTGCCTCCCTCTTATGAAGGCCCTGGTGATTACATTGGGCCGACTCAGATCATCCCGGATAATCTCTTGATCTCAAGACCGTGGACATAATCACATCTGCAAAGTCCCATTTACCCTGTAAGGTAGCATAGTCACAGGTTCCAGGGGTTAGGATGAGGACTCCTTTGGGGGGCCCTTTTCCAGTTTATCACACCCTAGAGGTTATTCATGTAGTCTCCGGAGCCAGATTGCCTCAGCTCAAGCCTTGGCTTTGTCACTCATTAGTGTTTTAGTCCTAGGTGATTTGTTTAACCCCTCTCTGCCTCAGTTTTCTCATTTGTAAAAATAGTAGTACACACCTTATTTGTTCAGTTATCTCTTATTATATGACAAACCACCCCAAACCTTAGTGGCTATAAACAACAATGATTTTTTAGATGCCTTTTTTTTCAATATGAAGATTCCTTTAAAAACTAAAAATAGAGTTACCAAATGATCCAGCAATCCCACTCTTGGGCATATATCTGGAGAAAACTCTAATTCAAAAAGATACATTCCTCTAATGTTCATAGCAGCACTATTTATAATAGCCAAGACATGGAAGCAACCTAAATGTCCATCAACAGATGATGGATAAAGAAGATGTGGTATATATACATAATGGAATATTACTCAGCCATAAAAAGTATGAAATAATGCCAATTGCAGCAACATGGATGGATCTAGAGATTATCATACTAAGAGAAGTCAGACAGAGAAAGACAAGTATCATATGATACCACTTATATGTGGAATCTAAAAATGAGACAAATGAACTTATTTACAAAACAGAGAAAAGCTCACAGACATAGAAAACAAACTTGTGGTTGCCAAAGAGGAAAGGGGGTGGGGAGGAATAAATTAGGAGTTTGGGATTTGCAGATACTAACTGCTATATATACAATAGGTAAACAACAAGATCCTACTGAATAGCACAGGGAGCTATACTCAATATCTTGTAATAACCTATAGTGAAAAAGAATATATATATATATATATATATATATATAAAACTGAATATATATATTATAAAAATATAATATATATATATATACTATATATATATATAAACTGAATTACTATGCTGTACACCAGAAACTAACACAAAATTGTAAATCAACTATACTTGCAATTTAGAAAAAAAATGTTTATTTCCATGATGGGTGGGTCTTCTGCTTTCCATGGTGCTGGCTGCATTCAATCCCACAGCTACATTCATCTGGAAGCTCAGCTGGGACCACAATATCCAAGTTGGCCTCACTGACATGTCTGATGGTTGGTGCTAGATATTGGCTGAAAAGCCTTAGTTCTCCTCCAAATGTCCTCTTATCCTTCAGGGCCTCCCTTCCTCCGCTGGCCTCTCCTGCAGGATAGTTCAGACTTCTTTACATGGTTGCTGACTTCCAAAGAGGTGATTATAGAAGCTGCAAGACTTCTTATGGCTTAAGCCCAGAAGTCACAAGGTGTCACTTCTGTCAAAGTCTATTGGTCAAACAAATTACACGGCCAGCCCAGGTTCAAAGGGAGGGGAAATAGACTCCACCTCTTGTGAAAGTCACATTGTACAAATCTTGCGAGATGTACAATTTACCATGGTTAGTGTGAGGATTCTATGAATTAAAACACGTAAAAGGACTTAGAGCAGTGGCTGGTACCTCATAAGTGCTCAATATGTTTTTTTAAAAGGGCAGAATCTAGTGTTTAGCTGCCTAGATTCAAAACCCAACTCCACAGCTTATGGTGCTGTGCCCTTTGGCAAATTACTTAACCACTCCAAGCCTCGTGGTCCTCATCTGTAAATAAGATTAATGGTAAAACTTACTTTGCCCAACCTGTGCAAGGATGAAATGCAGTAATAAGTGCAAACTCAGCTCTAGGCATAGGGTATAGTTAGTAGTGAATAAGCACCTGCTTTTGATATTACCAAAGTTCTGTGAAGTACAGTGCCAGGCATTTTCTCATATATCCTCTTATTTAAGCCTATTGTCAACCCCATGTGGTCCGTGTATATACACATATATGAAGAAATGGAGGCCCAAAGTACTTCAGAAACTTGAGGAAGGAAGGATCATACTTGGGACTGGGACCTAGGTCTTTGTGACTCTTTCTACTTTACTAATGATTTCTTAGTAGAGTACCTCCCGTCCTTCTTTTCAAACAAACCTAACGAATAAAACTGAGAAAGATAGTATTTTATTAGCACATACTATGAAGGCTCACATTTGAACTTTTTAGTCAGTAGGGGAATTTTATGTCAATTAGCACACATGTTTATCATGAAGGAAACCTCTAATGTGTTAAAATTCAGTTCATAATGTTTCTGTGAACATGTGACCTTTTATTGGGGTTTCGAAGATTATATCTTTATAGAAAATAAATCAGAACTCTGTGGACTCTCTAAATACCTCAAAGGAATTTTAGGGTTCCATGGATCCCAGATTGGAAACCCCTGCATCAGACCACATCCTTCCACATGAGGGAGAAGTAGATGGAGCATCTGGGCTCTGAGCAATGGGGGTCTCAGGAACCTGGCAAAAGAGCTTTGAGTTGTTTTGTAAGCAATGGCATTTTATTTAATGTCTTGTAATCCATTATTTATTGGATTTCTGTGGATTTGTGATCAAGAAGAATAAAGGCAGAGAAAAATAATCACAGCCAATATTTATTAAATGCTTACTGTGTACCATGTACTACATCCTTTCCTTGTTTTATCTCATTGAGTTATCTCAGTGCTACAAGGTATGTACTGTTATCATTTCTATTTGACAGATGATGAAACTGAAGCCCAGAGTGAATAAGTAATTTATCAAGCTAGCAAATGATGGAGCTGATGGCAATCCTATAGGAAATCATTGGAACTTTTAAAATCAGGAGGTCATTGGTGACCTGGTGAGTGAGAGCTGAGGGGTCAGGGAAAGAAGAAGCCTTGGAAGACAGAGGCAAGTGTGTATCAGGAATAAGGGAAGTTTGACAGGAAGCGGAAGGGGGAAATAGAGTACCAAATGGTGGGGTGTGGAAGGAAGGCTCTCAAGACTGAGAAGAAGGAACTACAGGAGAGGGCAAGATTGGGAATGCTGAAAGGAAGAGAGGGGCATTGAAGGAACGCGTGCTTGGAGGACTGCCTCTCCCCATGTCCCTGTTTCTTCTGACTTTCCAAGGGCATTGGCAGCAAGGGAGCTCAAGGCTGAGATTCTCTTGAGACAGGCCTCCTGTAGGAATGGCCTTGGCAGTCCCAGAGATGGGGCAGCACTCTTGCACGCAGTGACCATTGTGGGCAGTTTCTACTTCTCCTTCACACACATTCAACACTCCAGACAAACTAGGCTCCTCCCCTTTTCCTGACACACCTGGCACCACAGTGCAGAGACAAGAGCATGGATTTCAGGGGCAATCAGTTCTGGGTTCAAGGCAAGGCTCTGCCACTTACTAGCTGTGTGACCTTGGGCAAATTATTTAACTCTCTGAGCTTCAGTTTTCTCAACTATATGCATGGAGATAATGATAACTCTCTCTGAAAATGATAGGAGGGGTTAATGAGATGATATAGGTGAAAGCTTCCAGCTTATGCTTAGTACAGACTAGGTACTCCTTGAATAACGCACCTCTCTCCCCTGACCACACCGTTCCACCTTCTATCTGTTGAAGCTGTGCCCAACACCTGCCCAGCTCCAGTGGCACTTCTTCCATCCTTTCTGTTCCTGACACTACCAGCTTGTGGAGATCTGTCTCTCACTGGTACACCAGAGTATCTGTATTGTTCACAGGGAACTTATGGTTCACTCACTGCTTTGTAGTACAGATATTTGTGTTCAGCTTTAGTAGGCATGTAATAAATATTTACAGAAAGAAGCAAAGGATGTGCTAGCTTGAGCTTTGGGAGAAAGCACAGAACCAGTTTCATATTCCTTGTTCTTTTGTAACATCTGGAAGGCCTCCAGCAGGAGCTAGGGGAATTGGCAATGACATTTAGTTGACTTTTGGTGGAGGTAGCCAGACCAAATTTGTCCTTGATCAGTTCTTCGGTGGAAGTTGGTGTTGGTATCAGTGAAATATTTGTCTGGAGCAATCAGTGATGGCTTTGGCTGAATTGAGAGTTCAGGAAGACTTGATTAATTGGGATGAGGTGCCATGGAGGAGTCTGTGTCCTTAGAGATTAACCAGAGAGTTTGATGTTGAATTGAGTCAGAGTTGAAAGCAGACTGGAGACTAGTTGGAACTAGGGATCAGAGATGATACCACTTACCTTCCTATGGGAACATCTCAGCCAGCACTGAAGGTTGTGCCCATTGGCCTCTCTGGGATGAGGGTAGAGGGTGATGTATCTGGGGACAATGGAGAAAGAAGATGGACAATGTGGCTGATCTTGGAGAGGTGGCATCTGATTTCCCCACTCCTCCCCCTCTCTCCTTCCACAGTCTCCTGGGCAACCCAGACCATCACCCACTGCAGCCCAACACCTCCCCACCACCCACCTCTCTCCTCTTAGAAAGGCATCCTTGTTCACTCGTAGCATCTTCAGGTCTTCCCACTACCACCTCTGCCGCCTCTGCCACCCACCCTGCACCACAGCATTTTAAGACTAACAGCTGAGATTTAACTGATCCATTTCTGTTTCTCAGTCCCTTTTCCAGGGAGAAGTTTGTTTTTCAATCTATGATGCTGATTTCCTCAATGGAGATAAACAGCAGGAGAATGTTTTTCTCTGCCCTATTAATGGGTCAGATTAAAGAGTCAATCATATAATCAGCACATCATTTCTTAACTGGCCCTTGAATAAGCTCAGAGTCCCATCTGGGAGATGAAACTCTGACAGTAAGCAAGCTCTAAGACATCCCAAGGCAGCATATGGGTGGGGAGAAAATGTGGGGGAATCATAGGGATGATAATGTTTCCCTAAAGTTTTCTACTTTAGAGAACAATTTCAAATTCATTATCTCAGGTGACTCTCATAACACTCCTATGATGTAGGCCTAATTGTCTTCATTTGACAGATGGGAAACTGAGGCTCAGAGAGGCAGTCACTTGCCAAGATCAGACAGCCAGTAAGTGACAAAACCAGGATGGAAGGAGCAGCTTATTTGGGAATCTTCTGCTGGCTGAGTCCTGTCTGTGAACGGTGAACCCTGTAGTCTGGAGGTGTCCCCCACCACCTCCACCAGAGAATCCTTCTACCCTTACTGCCAAGATTCTAGGCTGGGAGGACAGGGAAGGCTCTCAGGCCCGGGCCTCTTCCCATGCCCACCACTGTTCCCCTAGGTTGAGCCTTGTGGCTATTTGAGCCAAATGTGCCCTCAGAATCCCGGTGCCTCCCTCCTGGCCCCAGGGGCCAGTCTGTACCCCTGGCCCATATCCTGAGACCCTGAGAAAAATCCTTAGCCATTCGTCTGGGTCCCCTCCCCATAGGTCAGTGCTCCCCCCGCCATGGACAGGCTCCTGTGATGATGGATCGCTGGCCCCAACGCACATATTATTATGAAATGGGTTTATTACACTCTAAATCTCTCACTAATGTGCCGCTGTTTAATCCCTTTATCCAATTCTCAGTCTCTCAGGCTCGGCCACAGCTCTCTCTACTCAGGACTAGGTCTGAGTGGTTTATTGGATGATTTCTGACTTGGGGGACTAGGGTGGGGGCTGTTTAGAGGAGGGGGGAGGAGAGGGAGCTGAGCAGCCCTTGAGAGAAGAAGTCCAAGGGCTCGTCCTGGGGCTTCTAACCTGAAGCCTTCCTGGGCCGAGTTCCCGAGGGGCCCCTGCGGTCAGTCAGTCTTGTCCACCTCCATTTCTCTGATTTGGAGCCTAAGTCCATCTCCGCTTCCGCTCTCATCACTTTCTCGCTTCCTCTCTCTCTGCCTCTTTCTGTCTCTTCTTGTGAAGCCAGACCATGATCAGGATGATGGTGTCTATTTCCCCCTGGGATGAGGAGGGCTATGAACCCTGACCTTTCCCACCCCACCACCCCTCTTCTGAAAGTTCCTCTAATTCTGCTGGGTTTCTGTCATCTCCAGTCCTTCTATATCCCAGCACCACTGACCAGCCACCTTCCTCTTATGGCATCTGCTACCGATGTCCCCCTCTGGCTTTCCTCTTGTAGAGCCTCCATCTGCCCTGCTCTTGGGCCCAGGCCGAAGTCCCTGCTGACACCAGCAGCCTCCACCTCCTCATCCTCCACCCTCAGCCTCCTCTGCTTCCCCATGATACCTCGGCTCCCGAGGCCTGCCCTTCCCTCCTCACTCTCGTCCTGGCCACCTCCCTGGCTGGCCTTCTCTCCCTCCCTCCGTCTCTGTCTCTGTGTCTCCCATGTCTCTCCCCAGCAGTCCCTCCCCACTCTGACACACCAGCCGGTACAGCAGCCAAGGCTTCCTGCTGTCAGCTGGGGAATAGATAAAGATAAATGATATTATGTTAAATTCCACTTAATGACAAATTTTTAATTTTCTGAACATGGTCATTTTCTGGCTAGTGAATCAAGTGGAGGGAGCTAATTACATGAAGATCTGAACAAAAATAACTCCTAATTTTCAAGGATAATGGAAGAGAAATGTTGGAGATTAATGGCACTATTTATCTTTTTTAAATTTCTATCTTTCTCTGTGATAGCCGTGCTCCCCAAGGAAAATATTCATAAAATGAAATTGAAGTCGTAACTTAATAGGTTATTAAAATTTTTGAGTGCATATCACTTTCCTTCCGCAGCACTGTAAATTTAAATTGAAGTTTGCGGCTCCCCGAGTCACCAGCGGAGTTTTTTTTATGATGGCACAATAGAGAGAAACATGCATCTTTGTCAGGAGGTATTTGCTAGTCTAATTTTATGGCAGGCCGGATTATCAGACGGGAATGGCAGCGCCGGGGGAAGCTGACAAGCCCGCAGCCGGCAGCCATGTGTTTCCATTAGCGCCCCGAGCCGTCCGGGGTTTCTCTGGACTCTCATTTTCCACTTCAGTCTTTTATCTTGATTTAAAGTGAGGGCGCCCAATATTCAGGGCCTGTCATTTTTCTCTCTCACACACTCTCCCGGCTCTTCCTCACTTCTCCCCTCCCACTTCCTCTGCTCCAGGGCCTTTCATCTCTGGGGCTCCAACGTGGGCCCTGGGCCCCCCTCACCCAGCCTCACTCAACCCTCTGGGCTCCACCCCAGGAGGAAGAAGAGAGAGGAGGCAGGAGAAGCCAGCGGGGCAGCTACTGGAGTTAGTTATAAATTTGAGTGAAAACTTCTCCCTATGGGCCCATCAGAGGAACCCTCAAATGGGGACAGTGCGGATGAGGTAGAGAGGGGACTCTCTGGCTTGAGCCCATCAGGCCCTCTAATTGAGTGTTAATGGAGTTGTGAGGGGGAGGGGGCGCAGCTGTTGGCCCTGGGGACCCGAGGGCAGGGAGAATTATGGCCGGTCTCTCTTCTAGAGAGATGCTGTCTCTGTTCCTATGCAGGTCTCCGCCCTGGCTTTGTCTCTGAGTCTCAAAACCACCGACATAGAGGGGAACTTAAAAAGGGCCTCAGAGCAAGTCGCACATTTTAGAGATGGGCAAACTGAGGCCTTGATATGGGGAGTGTCTTGTCCAAGATCTCATGGCTAATTAGTGGGAGACAGAACAGAACGTTGGTTGTCACAGATGCGCAGATGAACACAGTCTCCACTGAACCGCACTGCCCCGCCTTGGCCTCTTTCTGCTCTGTTGGATGGAAGCCAACGTTTCTGTTTCTCTCAGCTCCCACCCAACTTTGCCCACCTTATTATTGGCACCAACGTTTTCCCAAGAGCTAGCCTTACAACCCCCAAGTCATCATTCACACCTGTTGTATCCTCACACCATGTCAGTTACCAAGTCCTGCCATCTCTTTCCTATCTGTCCCCTTCTGTCCTCTTCACTGGGCTTCACCTGCCCTATTACATCAGCCCCTCTGTCTGCTCACTTATTTCCATGTTCTCCCCTCCTGTCCCACAGTGACACTCTCCTGCCCTTACTCAGAAACCCGCCATGTGCCCTCCACCCTGTGCCTACAGGATTGAGTTCCAACTTCTCACTCAGACTTTAGAGCCCTGAGTGACCACAGCCCACCATTTCCCCTCTGTTCTCCCTCCTCCTTGCCCTCCATATACCCATATAGGGTCGACTCCAGCCAGAGTGGCATCTCTACACCTTTGTTCCTAGTGTCCCCACCAGGAGCATCCTCCACCCTCCAGCTCTGTCCACCATCCATGACCCACCTCAAGCCACATCCTTGCTGGGCCTCCCCAGGCCACAGTAAGCTTCCCTCTTCTCTGGCCTCCTTGAGCCCTCACCATCCAGGCTGGCCAGTTTGGCACTCATCAGTCTGCTCGCCTTGCTCGCCCTAAATTCAGCTCAAATAGCTTACGGTCACAAATGCCCCTGGATCACACACCCTTATCCCATATGTCCCAAACACAGCACCAGAGACCCCTGGATAAAAACCTCAGACAGGAGGTCTGCTCACATAGCATCATAGCAAATTGGAACTGGAAGGGATATGACTTAAACTCTCTCATTTTATTGATGGGGAAACTGAGGCCCAGCCAGAGGGGTGATACACAGGGACCTGTCTTTAGGAAAGTCTCTGGACTCAGGTTTCACTGCTCTCTCCACCTCACCATTCTGCTTCTAGGTTTCCTGTCATCATTGTCGCTCAGGTGTAAATTGGCCATAGTTCTTTTAATCTCAGAGCCTCAGTTTCTCCACAGTGGAGAAAAAGCAGTCCTAGACCACGTGCCTTCCTCAAAGTGGATCAGGGATCATGGGAGAGCCCCATGGCAACAGCAGGACTTCTCGATGCGGTATCTGCTTGCACCTCCTGCCCTCCTCTGCATCCCAGGCTGCTCAGCCCTGCCCCACGCTCCCTGGCCCGGCCACTTCCAAGGACTGTGACCCTCTTCTCTACCGGCCCTCCACTGGGCTGCCCACCATTATGCCCCATGTTGCAGGTACGTTGCAGGCATGTTGCAAACATGTTTGGGCATGTTTCAGGCATGGCCATTTCCACTTGGCTGCCTGTGCCGCACAGGTCAGGTGGCGAGTGGCCTGGGCCACCCCCACGCCGTGTTGAGCAGTGGAGCTGAGTGGAGGCGGTGCCTGGTTCCCCAGCCACAGTCTCTCGTTAGAAAGAAATTAAAAGCCACTCAATTTTGGCTAATATCCCTCTGAAGGCCTTTAACTCCACCTGTGACTAACCCATTCATAATCGCTCCGTTTTAGTGGCTCAGGCTGATGTAGCCTCAATTAATTTGGGAGGAGAGATAAACGGCCATTCCTCTTTGTCTCCCATCCCTTCCTCCCTCCCTGCCCTCTCTGTCGTCTCCCCCACAGT